ACAGAGGGAGGCACACACTGTGGCTTACAATAACATATTTACATCTTCTCACACAGATGAAACCGCCTGACACGGCACTAGAGAGAAAAAAAGCTCTGCGGAGGCCGTGGAGTTTGTATTGCCACTAAACAGGGCTATTAGAGCTCAATAACGCCCCACTTTAGCCAAAATGAATCCCGATCTGTTTTGCTTGCTGCAAAAATAAACGTGCGTGTTTTCCATTAGCTGCTGGAGAGCTAGAACATGAGGTTCCTGAAGAAAGATTAGCAGTTGCATGCAGGGAAGAAATGTGACCCGTCTTAAGTCGCTGGGGTATATTTGTAGCAATAGCCAACAATACAGTGTATGGGTCAAAATTATAGATTTTTCTTTTATGCCAAAAATCATTAGGATATTAAGTAAAGATCATGTTCCATGAAGATAATTTGTAAATTTCCTACCGTAAATATATCAAAACTTAATGTTTGATTAGTAATATGCATTGCTAAGAACTTCATTTGAACAACTTTAAAGACGATTTTCTCAATATTTTGATTTTTTTTGCACCCTCAGATTCCAGATGTTCAAATAGTTGTATCTCAGCCAAATATTGTGCTATCCTAACAAACCATACATCAATGGAAAGCTCATTTATTCATGATGTATAAATCCCAATTTCAAAAAATGACCCTTATGACTGTTTTGTGCTCCAGGGTCACATATAAGATGATGGGAGTTCACTAACATGCAGCACAGACAAAAACAGGGTAAGTAGTCAAATAGCCGATACCTTTAAATCTTTTGGACATTCTCTGAGGAAAAAGAGAGTCTCGAGAACATAATCATAAAGTAGAGCGAAGAATTCTTAACAGAAAATACACTCATCATTTCATAGAATTCTAAATTTTGGGATCCAGAAGAAACATACGTATCGGCTCGTGTTTTTAATGCACTTGCTTCCACAAAAGCTTAAATGTGCACGATCGAGAGAGCATTTAAAGATACACACATCTGCAGAGGCATGTGCTTTGAGCCACGTGACAGTAACCTGCTGGAAGAGGTGTGGCTGGTAACTCTTCAGGTAGTGAAGTCAGTCAGCTATTGACTGCTCACTTCTCTCTGCAGCCTTACGAAGACCACCATCACACCAAGACTGTTTACGTGAGTGCTTCCACTTTTTAACTTGGTCCCGCAAGAACTGCTTAGAATTAAGGGCATCGCGGTGTAAGGACACACCTGCCGTTCCAGATGAAGTGCAAAGGAACTGACATTTCCGGTTGGGGATTTTAAAGTCTGCATTATGACTGGCATTTTCTCACCAGAAGCAAAGAACACCTGTTGAACCGAGAGAAGCGAAACGGCGACAGCCAGACACTCGTGATTTCCAAGCTGTGCTGCGGTTGGGAGTCATTCCAAGCAGAGTCATGCCTGTGGTTAAAGTGGAGAGCGATTCTCCCTCGGAAAGCACTCTTCCAGTGAATGACAGTCAGAGAGGCCGCCGGAGGAAGAGACCGCTTCAGCGAGGCAAACCACCATACAGCTACATCGCTCTCATCTCCATGGCCATCGCCAACTCTCCCGACCGCAGGCTCACTCTGGGGGGCATCTACAGGTTCATCACAGAGAGGTTTCCTTTCTATCGAGACAACTCCAAGAAATGGCAGAACTCCATCCGCCACAATCTGACCCTCAACGACTGTTTCATCAAGATCCCCCGAGAGCCCGGCAGACCCGGAAAGGGCAACTACTGGGCGCTGGACCCCAATGCCGAAGACATGTTTGAGAGCGGAAGCTTTCTACGACGGCGAAAGCGATTCAAACGCAGCGACTTCGCGACGTACTCAGCGTACGAGTCTCCCGTCTTCTCACCAGTCCAGATCGCGCGCTCGGTCTACTCTAACATGAGCCCGCCGTCTGCCTACTACCAGTCCTCCTCTCCGAGCTTCAGCGCCGGTCAGTCCAGGGTCTTCAGGATCAACTCTCTCATCGGCTCAGAGATGATGCCTCAGCAGTCCTGCCGCAGCTTCAGTCCTGAGGGTTTGGGAGGACCGGGCTTCCAGCATCAGTCCTGCAGCGGGGACACGGTGCTGTCGTGCTGCTCCAGCTCCTCGAACAACATGGCCTTTGCCTACTCCAGCCCAGGACATGGCCAAGCTCAGGTATCGTATCCTCAAGGCAGCAGCCAGGCCTACGGGCCGACGGGGAGAGTGGCCATCTCCAGTTTGTCTCCCATCGCTGAAGATGCTGTCGGAGACCCATACAGCAGAACCTCCCCAGCACAGCTGGGCTCTTTTGTTCAGTACAATAACTCTGGTGCAGTAGGAAGCTCAGGAGCCTACATCAGGCATCCAGCTTACTCAGGTAACATGGACAGGTTCGTGTCTGCCACCTAAATAAGTGCGAGGCTGATTTTCTCCACTGTGGCACACAGGAACATTTGGAGAGACTATTTAAGTAAATATGCAAACCATTAACTGTGATATTTAAACTGATGTTGCTATTGTTTTATTGTGATTCCATCACTAAATAACCTCAGTCGACATGTACAGACCTGTCCTATTACAACATTGTAAAAAGGCGCAAAGTGCTCAAGTTAAAGGCAAATTTTTACAAAAATCTAACTTTTTTTTTTAGGGAGGGTCTGTTTACTATTACTTGAGTGAAATGTGTTCTTCGTATATGCTTTTCTTATTGCCGTCTGTGTAAAAGTGTAAATGCTTCCATTTACTTTTAATTGAAATAAGTTACTACATCTACTTGATTCGGTGATAAAAAAATGTTTTTATAAGAGGCTGTGTTGCGATGTCCTTTAGGATGGGGTGCGCGAGAATGATTTTTAAGATGTATGCAAACATGCATCTCACCAAAAAAAAAGTATAGTTAGTACTATTCTTTTTTTTATTATTATAACTGAAATTTTTACGTTTTCTAATATGCAGTCGGGCTTGACATTAACACCTGCCAAATGCGTGTGGATTTCAACACACAGGTTGAGTTTTATATACAGGACCAGAGCTCAACATTAATGCTTGTCTGGGACAAGTGGATTTCTTTTGAAGGGGCAAGTGAAAGAGAATTTTAGGTTACATTTTATTTTAAGGTGTCATTGTTACAGTGTAGTTATACATACAAGTACTGAGTAATGTTGATTAACTACATGTACTTACTATATGGTTAGGGTTCGGCTTAGGGTTACTTGCATGTAATTATGCACAATTTATTGTTATTATAATAGTAAGTACATGTAACATGTAACAAGGACACCTTAAAATAAAGAGTTTCCGAATTTTACTTACACAACTAATCTGATTAAAACATCTAATTAGGGAAGCACCGAAATTTTCGGGAGAATGAATCTGATTTTAATATATTTGGTTTAAAGGGTGAATAATAATGAATAATGTATTATTAACAGTAACAAGAAATAAAACGAATTAACACAACTACACACAGAAGAAACATACGGTATGCAGTTTTTATATTTATAACATATAGCCTAGTGAAGCAACACGACACGAACAAGAGAGTGCATTTTTCCCTGAAAACCACGATTGCAAATTTAACATTGATTTTATACAAGAGTTTACATTTTAGTACAATATTATCAATGTTTTTGCTCGATTTGGTTGAAATAATTCAAACAGAGATCACAAGCAGAACAGTCGCGCATCTCTGAGCCACACACAGCGGTGTTTCAGTAACGAATTATTTGCGTTTTTTAATTAATCACTGAGTCAGTGGTCCATTCATAAAGACAGGCACTCGCTTAATTCTTGAATGAATCAGCCGTCTGAACGAATCGTTTGAATTAACGACTCAATGACTCACTCATTAAGAGTGCTGCCACCTGCTGGCGGTTTACTTTCCTATTTAAAAGTAGCTTATCTTTGCGTTTTTTCCAACATTTCATATTTGTATATTTAAAAAAAAAAAAGTTTAAAACACCAAGCTCATAACATTATTCATGCTGTTGTAATTGTGCAGTGTAAATGCACTCATGCTACATTTCAGCTTCATTATACTGTCTGTGTGAATGCATCTAAACAGCTGCTGGTTTCTTCTGCAGTGGAAAGATCCGTTTTGTTAATACTGATTTAATTAGCTAGGTAACAGCCCTGTAGTGTCTTATTATATTAACTGAGATTATTAATAAAATGTAAGAATTTGATATGATGACGCATGCATTTAATAAGGTTAAGGAAAATGCCCTTTAAATAGACAAAAAAATGACCTGGAAATCTGGTTTTATATTATTGAAAAAAATTAGATTATTAATATCCTATAATTTGAAAGAATAAATAATTAGTTTTCTAGCACTAAAATAATGAAAGCTGACATACATTTAAAAAATGTAATTCAGTCAGTTTTTTAGCATGCAGCTGGACGCAAATGATCAGTTATTGATGTTTTAAGTTCACACTGACTGCACATATTTAATTGACAAGTTGGTCAGAATAAGTGCAAAAGGGTTACAAGAAATGTGAGGAAAATTAACTATAATTTTCATAGGACTGATTTGCATCTCATCTTTGCTTAGACTTTCCACAATACAAAAACCCCTTTAAACGCTTTAGTCACTTTATTCAGACAAGTGGCTGAAACCCAACAATAAAGCTGAAAATATATGATTCAGACTAGGAGTAACCGACAAAAAAAAGCATTCTATTAAGAGTTTGTTTAAACCCAATCTGTGATACGAGAATTTAAAACTCTGAGAAACACACACACACAGTCCTGATAACAGTTCTGAAAGTTTAATAAAGCATAGGACTGATTTGCATCTCATCTTTGCTTAGACTTTCCACAATACAAAAACCCCTTTAAACGCTTTAGTCACTTTATTCAGACAAGTGGCTGAAACCCAACAATAAAGCTGAAAATATATGATTCAGACTAGGAGTAACCGACAAAAAAAAGCATTCTATTAAGAGTTTGTTTAAACCCAATCTGTGATACGAGAATTTAAAACTGAGAAACACACACACACACACAGTCCTGATAACAGTTCTGAAAGTTTAATAAAGACCTTTAAATTAAGACAATAACATTTATTAAACAGTGTGTGTCCATACACTAATTAATCACTTACAAAATGAATGAAAAAGACTCTTAGAAAAGGAACTGATTGGCCTACAGCATCACCAGACACAACGCCTGAAGGTTTTATGTTTAGTTTAAATGAAAGACACTTGAGAATAAAACAAGAAAACATTTAAAAACTAAACTACACATTTCTGAATTTTCAGCAACTCATCCAATAAATTCCACAAGCTTCTGTAGTTCAGGACAGCTCGTGACAAGATCAGGAACAGAGGACAATGTCTGTGAAAGGAAGAAAACGGTACACTTGTTACCTGATTTCCAAGACATACAGTGTATTATACAGATATTATTTTTCATATTTTCACCTGTCTGACGGATTCAATCATATCATCAAGCAGATGTAGCTCTCGCTTCAGTTTACTCTGGTTCATGGCATGGACCCTTTGCTACAGAAGCACAGTTCGTTTAATACACAATCAAAATAATACACTGATATTAAATTTACAGAAGGATTTTGTCTTATCACTTAGTCCTTAAAGGCATTAAAACAAAAAATATAATCCCCCACAATTGCTATAGGAAGAACTCATGCAATACATTACATCAATAATAATAACGCAGGTAAGACTTACATGTCGTTTTGCCCTCTCCAAGACCTTGGCACGATTTTCCTCGGTTTCCATTAAATTTGCCTTGAGCTTCTCAACCTAAGAACAGAATGCGTTTATGCGGCGAGTTGATTTATTTATTTATTTTTTAAGGTTTCCAAAACGCTCAAGTCTGAAGTCCATGGAATGTCTATATGCACAAAAGCAGTGTTAAGTCGCTGGGGTATATTTGTAGCAATAGCCAACAATACATTGTATGGGTCAAAATTATAGATTTTTCTTTTATGCCAAAAATCATTAGGATATTAAGTAAAGATCATGTTCCATGAAGATATTTAGTAAATTTCGTACCGTAAATATATCAAAACTTAATTTTTGATTAGTAATATGCATTGCTAAGAACTTCATTTGAACAACTTTAAAGATGATTTTCTCAATATTTTGATTTTTTTGCACCCTCAGATTCCAGATTTTCAAATAGTTGTATCTCTGCCAAATATTGTGCTATCCTAACAAACCATACATCAATGGAAAGATTATTTATTCAGCTTTCAGATGATGTATAAATCTCAATTTCAAAAAATTGACCTTTATGACTGGTTTTGTGCTCCAGGGTCACATTTGGGAACTGCTTAAAAGAGTGAATTTACTGACTTTTGTTTTATAATGACTTCTAATTAAACCCCTATTTTTAGCATGTGAGCAAGACTAAGTTTTGGAGAGTTTGAGAGGTAAACACTGAAGTGTTGATGTAATATTATTGTCGTTTCATGCCAGTTGCAGAGAAAATACTGGATAGACTGCCATACCTCTCTGAGCATTTTGATTCTTTCATCTAATGCTTTGGTGCTGGCTGCTGATTGGACGCCTGTTCGGTTAAGCTCCTCCCTCAAGACCTGAGCCTCCACCTGTGCCTGCTGCTCCAGCCGCCGCAAATCAGCAACCTCACGACGCAACTCCTGTTTCACACAACAGAGCAAAGCCTAGCTGGTTACTACACAATCAGAAATGCATCCATCGGTCTAAAATTCAGCGTACAGTCAGCGTTACGTACACTATTCTCTGCTCTGTGTTTGTGTGCCGCCTCCATGTTCTCCTCCAGCTCCTTACATAGTTTCCTCAAGTTTCTTTCATCCTTAAAGAGCACAAACAGACAAATGACTTACATAACCACATATGTGACCCTGCAGCACAAAAGCAGTGTTAAGTCGCTGGGGTATATTTGTAGCAATAGCCAACAATACATTGTATGGGTCAAAATTATAGATTTTTCTTTTATGCCAAAAATCATTAGGATATTAAGTAAAGATCATGTTCCATGAAGATATTTTGTAAATTTCCTACCGTAAATATATCAAAACTTAATTTTTGATTAGTAATATGCATTGCTAAGAACTTCATTTGAACAACTTTAAAGATGATTTTCTCAATATTTAGATTTTTTTGCACCCTCAGATTCCAGATTTTCAAATAGTTGTATCTCAGCCAAATATTGTCCAATCCTAACAAACCATACATCAATGGAAAGCTTATTTATTCAGCTTTCAGATGATGTATACATCTCAACTTTGAAAAATTGACACTTAAGACTGGTTTTGTGCTCCAGGGTCACATATTTAATCCTCTTACGCTGCAAATCCTTGAGAGCTGAATGAAAGAGTTGTGCCGCTGGGAAACCGACCCTGAATGTCTCTGAAATAATCAACAGCAAGCTGAAGGTCTACCTGAGCTTTCTGCAGCAGGACCGCAGCCTCCTTCTCCACCTGCGCCTGCAGTCGCTCCACAGTCTGCCTCAGCTCTGACACCTCCAGCCTGCGTCTCTCACACTCCTCCTGCAGCGCCTCCTGCAGGCCACATCTGAAACAGCAGGTGGGATGATTCAGCTGGGGCAAGGCAATATCACACAGATAGAGCACTTTGCATGAATACGGTTATACATATAAAATCATTTAAAACCTACATTTGGTGCATACCAATGAATATGGCTTTGAAAATGACTGCACTCCTTTTCTCTGTGGCACTATAATTGATTTACATGTGCAAACACTGTTAAGTATCTGAATTTTAATGACAAGCAACATTGAATTGCTTGATTGCTGTTAGGGTGAGTTCTTTTGCAAAACCAGAAAGGATACATTTTTTAGAACATAATGTTCAGTAGAAAACCCAATGAAACTGGAATTCCAATGAAAAATCTCTCTCATACAAATCAAACAGCCCAAGTTTTGTTTACTGTCAAAGATGTAAATTCATTTCAATATATTTATCTGACACAAACCATAAAACTGACCCCCACCGAAAATGTGCTTTTCTCTTAAATATGATCTAAAGACTTCTTTTGTGCATTACAGAATTTACAAAAGTAAATAATATAAAAACAAAAACATAGTTGTTAACAAACATGGGGAAGTGAAATCCTAACTGAAACAAATGAAAAGTACTTTGATGTTCAGGCATCATTTGATGTTAGCTCTGTCAGATATGAATCTTTGATTCTATTCGCATGTCTTCTGTGATTCATTTACACTTTATTAAAAGGAATAGTTCATCCAAAAATGACAATCGAGCCAATTTACTCCTGACGTTCCAAACCAGTCCAACTGGCTTTCTTCTGTGGAACATTAAAGACGTCACTGAGAAATTAATGGCCAACAATTTTGTTTGGTTGCCAATGTTCTTCAAATATCTTCTTTTGTGTTTTGCAGAAGATGGAAAAGTCTCAGAATGACATTACATTTTCATTTTTGATTCCACTATTCCTTTAAGGTAAAGCAAAAACCAAACACTTTTGGATAATATTGTGTTTCGTGTGGCTTTACACTAGGCATCTCATCTACTGCTAAACTGCTCAAAGCATGTCCAATGTTATATATTTATATGCACGGTAAATATCAACAGATATTCAAGCCATGTATAGCAGAAAACTCTCAGCGTTCTCCTGAGCACTACCGAGTAAACCGGAGGTCGAGTAACTCACATGGTCTGCTTCAGAGTCTGCTGCTCCGAGTCTTTCTGGACTCTCATCTGGTCTAAAGTGAGCTGAAGATCAGAGATGGTCTCACCAAAATCACACAACAGATCCAACATACGGCTCCGTCTCTCCTCTGAGAACACAAGAGAGGATCAACATACGCATTTCACTCATCTATACTTGAGTGTAGATCTAACATAAAAACTAAGTGTGTGTATGAGTGTGTTATCATCTGGTAATGAACGTACCTTTCAGTTCTGTGTGTGTAGTTGGTGGTATTCGGGTAAAAGCACTGGTTCCACTGCCAATGCAGTCTTGTTGCACCTCTGCAAAACATTAGAGAACTTAAGAGGGAGCTCAGTTGTGACGAATAAACCTCTAATCTACTTTCTCTCGATGGAAAAGTGACTTAAAAACGTTTAATAGAACCGACATCAAAATAGTTTTGTGTGGAGCTGTATGCCATTTTTTAAATCTACACATCTACAGGCCAATAAACTACTTCTAAGGCCTTTTGACTCACCACTACATTCTCACACACACACACCATGTCTGTGATTATTTACAAGTTTTGCAAGAAACCAGAAACCTTTGGCACCACAGGAATAGATCCTCAATAAATTATGCAGCATTGGAACTGCTTTCCAACAAGCAGCGAACTAACGCACCTGAACCCTCAGGAGACTCGGTCTCAGGGTCCTGTGTCTTCATCATGGCCAGCATTACAGAATCCACAAAAGAGCTGGAGGGATGTCGAGGAGGCTGCGGTGTCTTATCAGAGCTCTCGGACTCCTGAGCAGTGCGAGACAGCGAAACAAAGTTATTCATTCTGGAAATAAAACACGTTGTTGTGTGAATAGGTATTTTTCTATCATGTCTTGAAGAAAGCATTGCTCTGGTACACAAGCAGCAGCACAAACAAATATTTAAAACACACAAACACAACTTTGTACAGTGTTGAAACTATAACCATTAGACTGATGTCAAGTAATTCATTTGCACAATTCTTTATCCAATTTTTCAACGTACAACCAGAAAAAAGTAAGCCTGGGAAAACTTACTTGTTGTACCTCAAAAGGATGATTTAGAAAACTAAATTAAACATTTTGTATTAAAAATACACAAGTTCATTTCTGACTTCTAAATTTTCAGTGTAATTGATCAATAAGCCTCCACTGCAAGGGCAAACTGCAAACCAGTGTTGTTACTGTTAACTAAAACTACTAAAAATCATTTCCGTTAACTGAAATGAAAATGATATAAATATTAAACTTAAACGGAAATTAGAAAATAAGCTGAAGTACTAAAATAATTAAAAATAAAAAACTGAAAATGTAAATATTTTTTTAAATATGTGACCCTGGAGCACAAAACCAGTCTTAAGTGTCAATTTTTGAAATTGAGATTTATGCTGAAGAAATAATCTTTCCATTGATGTATGGTTTGTTAGGATCGGACAATATTTGGCTGAGATACAACTATTTGAATATCTGGAATCTGAGGGTGCAAAAAAATCTAAATATTGAGAAAATCATCTTTAAAGTTGTCCAAATTAAGTTCTTAGCAATGCATATTACTAATCAAAAATTAAGTTTTGATATATTTACGGTAGGAAATTTACTAAATATCTTCATGGAACATGATCTTTACTTAATATCCTAATGATTTTTGGCATAAAAGAAAAATCTATAATTTTGATCCATACAATGTATTGTTGGCTATTGCTACAAATATACCCCAGCGACTTAACACTGCTTTTGTGCTGCAGGGTCACATATGTTAAACGTTTAAAAAAATGAAATATAAAAAGAACAACCAATGCCAAATTGACAAAAACAACCATATTACTAAAACGTAATATGAAAATTGAAAATATAAAAACAAAACCCCATTCAAAATATTAATAAACACTACAATAGTATATAAAGAATATTAAAATAACATTGCTTTACACAAATCAAGGCTGGAATCAGACCTATTGTGTATGAAAACTGTTAACATGTGTGGAGCCAAAACTCTATTAAACCTGGAATATGTCTAACCTTGAGTAAATTATGACCTCACCTTGGAGGCTAGGGATTCCTTTAAGATGCCAGTGAGACAGCAAACTCTGTGGTTCAGGAGCATGAGATCATTCGACGCCTGAGCCATCTGCTCTCCTTGTTCCAGCAGCATGCTGCGCGCTTTGTCTCGTGTGCTATCCAGCTCCTCCTGAAGAGAGTCCTTCTCAAGCCTAAGAGGAGAGATTGCTTCTATTGATTCTGATTTGTTCTAACATATCTCTTCTAAGAAGTAGGAGTGGGTAGACAGGAGTCTGCTGTACCGCAGGTGTTCCAGCACTAGTTTGAGGTCCTCACACTCCAAGTTTCTCTCTCTCAGGCCCTGTAAGTGGCACCGCAGCAATCGCTCACTTTCCTCCATCTGCTCCCGTGCCAGGTCGTTTTCTGCCTGCAAGAACTGATAGAACGAAACATTTGTGATCCTGGAGCACAAAACCAGTCATAAGGGTCAATTTTTTGAACAGATTCCAGATTTTCAGCCAAATATTGTTCTATCCTAACAAACCATACATCAATGGAAGCTTATTTATTCCGCTTTCAGAATATGTATAAATCTCAATTTCTAAAAATGTACCCTTATGACTGGTTTTGTGCTCCAGGGTCACATATAGGGTGAGTAAAGGATGAGAAAAAGTGAACTATCCCATTTAAAACACTATCCATTTTAAAAGGCTTCCATATTATTTGTCAACATTCATAACATCAGGCATGGTTTACCTGCTATGAGTTTAAGGTCATACAGGCTTTGGAGAATTTCACAGGATTTTTACATTATAATTTAGGTGTTATTTTCCCCCATTTTCTCATAATTATTTCCAACATCAGAACAACAAAGAAGCTAGCACATGCAATACATGATTAACAATTATTTTGCCAATATTTATTATAAATATCTGACAAACTGTTTTTGGATCTGATGGTGTTGACGCATATTGAGTGATGAGCAAAGAAAAACATTAAAAACAAATAAGTAGATAATGAAGCAGAAGGAGACTGCTCTCATGATCAATACATCTGAACATGTTATAGCCTGCTTTACGCATTTATCATCAAGAATATGAGAATAGCAATTTTCATTATGTGCCTGGTTTGAAATGTACTAAACAATGACCCATCTTGTATTCTGTACACTACAATGCTGTGATGTCTGATGAAAACACCTGAAGCAAAGAACAGTGGTTCTCTACCATTACGACTCTAAGTGTCCACAACAATACATATTCCCAAATCCCTATGGCTCTCAAAGATTTTTGAGATTTACTGGATAATGATTTTTTTTAGAGCTTAGCATAGCTTGATAAATTCATTCTAAAAACACCCATGTATTTACAGAATTATATTACTTTACATGACTTGGATGGCTCTAGAATAACACTTAAAATTAGGCTCTTTCACATATCCAGGAGGAATTAAAATAAGAAATATCGACAGCTCTAGATTCTAGTGCAAACATATAAATAAAAATAGTTATACGTCACAAATTCTGCAGTGTTAAATTCCTAAATGAATGGGTGTAATGGAGTATGAACTAAACTGAAATTCAAAAAGCATATTCCACAAGTGCCTTTTGCTGCATACTTGCTGGTCTCGGAGGCGAGGGTCTGCTCCAGGAAGGTGTAGGAGGCCAGTGTGGAGGTGACCGTGACCGAGAGCTCAGTGCTCCTCCTCTGCAGCTGACAGCGCTCCTCCTCTGCCTGATTCAGCTGCTCTCTCAGCACAGACATCTCTGAGCCAACACACACAGCACAATCAGACAAAAGCTCACCGCGACTGCACAGGGAATAAGCAAATCACTGTCACACCTGAAGTCATGATGGTCTGCTGCGTGCTCAAGTCTGAAATCTGTTGACTAGCATCACGCAAGCTTGACCTCATGTGCTCTAGTTCATTTTCCATCTGGAGATGTACGGAAACAGCGATTAAATGCATGAAGTTCTCTGGATAGAGATTAAAAGGGTCACATCATAGATTTTCCTGTCTTTTTTTTTTTTCTTCCCCATAATGAAATAATTGAATGAATGATGAAGATACACTGTAACATTCACAACATGAAGTATCCACCATTGATTGAAAGTGAGGCTTTAGACAGGCAACAAAAATCCTCTATTTTTGCATATGTGACCCTGGAGCACAAAACCAGTCATAAGGGTCAATGTTTCGAAATTGAGATCATCTGAAAGCTGAATAAATAAGCTTTACATTGATGTATGGTTTGTTAATAGGGCTGGGCAAAAAAATAGATTTTTTGATTAATAGTTTTTTTAAATGACGTCGATCCGATATCGATTCTCAAAAGTCGCGAATCGATCTTTTCCGGTATTTATTTCAGCACACATTTTTAAACAAGTTCTGATTAACGTGAATCTTATCATTAGTCTTCTCCACTAGATGTCA